TGGGGAATTCTGGGAGTTGAAGTCCACACATCTTAAAGTGGCCAAGGTTGAGAAACACTGCTCTAGACTAAACCAGTTTGGCTCTAAATCAGTGTCACGCACGTTCATTCATAAATCCAAACGCACACAAACTTTATGTGTTGGGGCAGCTGGCCATTCTAAATGGATGAATTTTGTGGATAACCGGGAGATTCCTGCTATCCGTTCCTAATCAACCATTTATCTGGTTGATAACCATTTACTTTATTTACTACATTTTTTAATTCTACCAGTTACCGAAATCTCTCGTTGGTTTACAACAGAAACATCAAGTTAAGTTAAAACCAAAAATATGTTTTAAAAAATCAAATCAACACCGATTAAAAGCCAGCTCCAAAAGGGGTACTTTGAGGGCTTAAATTTAAAATGCCATCAAAGAAGTAAAGTCAGCAGGAAGAACTTCTGAAGAGGTGTGAGGGCTACAGAGATGGTTTGATCCTGAGTCCTTGCAAGCGAAACCCATAGTAACTGCAGATCCACTTCCTCAAGTATTCTTTGAGAATATTCTGTATTTAAGAATCATTTCACTTCTATCACCCTGTGATTCTCTCATTTACTGAGTAAATTTGACTCAGCGTCTCTTAGTCCCAACATTAACTTCATTTTTTTGAATAAACGTGTCTGTGTCTGAAATGCAAGTCCGCAAAACTGATTAATCATATTAAGAAGATAAGTTGGTCAACTGTTTAGATCAACCATATTTGGGCTGCAAACACCACTAGGTGAAAGTAAAAAAGAAATTAGGGTTCATTTCTTCCCTGATCTCTGGAAGCCATGTGGATTTTTGCAGATATGGCTTACAACCGTGAAATCAGTATTAATTTGTCTATTTTATGGTAACAAGGGCAAGAAACAGTCCATTCCCCCCTGCTCTTTTCTTCCTCAAGGGCTAAGTAAATGTGAAAAGTATCACATTTCTGTATGTAAAGGAAAACACAAATACATTGTGCGTATTTGTTCTTAGCTAAGAAAAATATAAAGGTTTCCTAAGATCAATCAGTATTAAGGTCAGTGAGCAAGAACAAGTTCTAACTTCCTCGAAAAACCACTGGAGAGGGTTACCTTCAGTGACTGATGTAAAGGAAGAGCAGGTGATAAATTCTGCAAAACAGAGCTCGCTCCTTCTTTCCAATAGACACTTCCATGTTGCTGTTAAGTTATGGAAAATAGAGAGAGGTCTCATACTGTGATTCCCATTAAATGTTAATAAACGTGCATACTACTAGCACTGAAGAAAGTGTAGCAAAAGTGAGATTAAGACGATTATTTACTGTTCAAACCAAAGGCTTTTTCTAACATTGCCTTTTCCATTTGCTATTATAGTTATATATCAGGACCAAAATATCTTTTAGAAAAATTCTACAACCATTCCATTAACTCTGACAGACACACACACACACACACAGTGGTTCACCTGGAACAGTTTATTTAAACGTATACACACACGCGCGTGTGCACATACACACACATGCTGAGAATCTCAGCTAAAACAAAAACAACAAAATTAAAAAAAAATTAAAAACCCAAATCAACAAGTTTTTATTACTTAGAAACTAGAAATGGTAGTTAGCATCTCAGATTCCAAAATGGATTTTACTGTTCAGAGGTGGGAATTAAATGAATTACAAATTAACATCAAAAGCAGACATGCGGCACATTTAAAAAGGCCTAAAACTATGCAAAGAAGTCCTAAACTACATAATTTCAGAGTTTGATTACAGATAGATAGATAGATAGATAGATAGATAGATAGATAGATAGATAGATAGATAGATAGATAGATAGATTTAAACTGGAAATACATAGAGCCCAAAGCA